CAATTAACATAAAATAAAAGATGATTTTTATTTTCAAATTAATACATAGTATAATATGTAACTATAATCTCATAATTTGTTTTAAATTGTAATTAAAATTAGCATGCACTGTATTTTTTTTTAATTACAATGCATGCAAATTTTATAAAGTAAAAAAAGGTTTCTAACTTTTTTATAGTTAGCCAATCGATAATTTACTTCGCTTTGGGTATCGTTATTCTATTTCTATTTTGGATTTCTGTTTTGGGCCCTGTAATTAATAAAATTATATGTAAACCAAAACTTACATAGAAGGGCGCACTTCTATTAGATCGTATTGAAAAAAAGGTTAAAGGTAGACCGGGTTTTTTATGATATTCGGATCATTAAAACACACTTCAATCCCTGAGGCCATTAGGACTGTTGAGTAGTTCACTCAAAATTGCAAAATGGCATAAAAATACGGCATTATTGGTTAACCGTACCTCGCTTTGTTCTCTAAATAGTTATCTATATTTCTTCGTGTAGTATGTAGCATCCTTAGATCTTGCAATCATTATCTTGTTAAAATTCGAACTAACGTTTCATAGGTATTGATTTTAAAAAGTAAATATATAAATCAATGTTAATAAGACAGTTCGGTGTTCGCCCCCATCTTCTCTTGCTCCTGTCGCAACGCTGTCAAAGAATTTTCTCTCACTGTTATTAATTGGCTTTGCCTTATGAGGAATTCCCATAAGATCACCGAGATAGTTCCGAATTAATTTGATGACAGCCTCAGCATCACATTTTTTTATAAGAAAAAGGTGACAAACGAGCACACAGTCCACCTGATGGTAAGTGGTTGCTGTGGCTCATCGACATCTGCATCTATTCCTCGATTACGAATCAAAATGCAGATGCGTTGTCACCTGTGAGGAATAAAATGGAATGCCTCGTTTCCCGTAAAAAGGTTCTCTGGTTCTCTACACCTACCATACGAAAAACAGCAGCATTAAGCTACTGTTTTACGGTAGTATTCTGTGAGAGTGTGGTCCTTCCCCGGTCGAGCCAACCCATTCGTGCGACAACTATACTTCTAATAAAACGGCAGCATGGCTCTACCACATATTAACAACACACATTAAAAACATTGAAATTACTCGTATGTGAGAAAGCAACAATGACTCACAGTGTGTACTATCTAAATTCTTCAAATCGCAACACAGCAGTAAAGTAAGCACTGCTTTTTGGCGGCAAAGATAGGTAAAAGACCAAACAAAACTTTCCCAAACAGATTTCTAGGTAGAAAAACAAATCTTAGTAAATCACCTGATCTGTTCAAATAATTTATAATTTGTTACATTAATTAGGAAAGAAGAAATAGTATTATTTTAACTTTTCATCTTATTTGTTAGCCCATGCAGAAGAGTTCTACCGCTTATTGTGTCAGTGGTTATATTCAATGCACATTTATATCATTATATCCTAATTAAGTCTCTAATAAAGTCGGCAAAGATATTTTTGTAATTAACAAATTAAGTGAAAAATGGCAAGCTATGCTGATGACTATTCTACTCATACAGCTTCTCAGCTTCAGAATGTGGTATTAACATACATATTTTAATGTCTAAAATTTCATAGTATTCCTATTTACCTATTTCGTATTCCAGACTTCTTATTTTTTACCACAACTCACTAGTCAGTGAATGTTCTATGTTGCACACATTTTTGTTTTATTTGCTAATAAAGTATCATCCGGTTATTCTCTACTGTATCCAAGTCCAAGCAAGCCCGTATATTATATAATTATATATACACAATTTTCAATCAGTAAAAAGAGGGAGAACAACTTTTAAATGTTTTTTTTTAATGTATGCGTTTGTATTTAGCAGTTGAATTTAATATTATGTGTAATTATTAAAACAAGTCAGGATAGCTTTATAATTTAATTTATTAAGCATATTTTTTGAGAAATAAATACAAGTTATATCAAACGACAACATCACATAGAAAAGCAGTCCAAATGTATTATTCGTTGAACATGTACCAAACGTGTTTATTCTATTATTTAAAAACTCAATGAAACATAATTTGAATTACATTCAAACTCCGTGCATTGGCGTCATAAGAGAATACGCCATCCCACTCCGTAACTTTCAACTTGGGATCATCCCAAATATTTCTTTACTCACTATTGACGGGGTTTCTTACAGAGGCGACTAATGCCCGATTTTTATATTCAAAACACGTTTGTTTCTGCGTTTTAGGTTTTTGTAACGATCCGTTTTATTATGTATGTAGTGCATGTAAAAAATATATATTACAAACTATTCATTTCGCAACATAAAATTAAATACTTTAAATGGTTCATAAATAGTTGAACAAGTATTTAAAAAAGAAAGGATTTACATGCTCTTTGGTTACTGAAAAACGGTCCGTAGAAGAAAACGAAGCGTTTTTAAATATAGAAACCCAGCCTAAGATAAACCTTTTAATGTGGGTGAGACCTACGCCCCGTAATTGAATGAGTGAACTGCTATGGAAAGATGAGCTTAGTTTTCAATCAAAGATATGTTTGCATGTCGATGGCATATCACCGTGTGCGCAGTTGTCATAGACGCGTGAGGGTGAAGGGAATGAAAAGTCATGTTTGTGCAAAGTATTTTTACCACGATTTATTACATAAAACAGCGATCGAGGAAATGTATCAGCTGCAGATCGGAAAGAGCACGCGGGCGACACGCCCGTAAATATGGCGAAACCGCCCGCGAACAATGTCCGCTACGCGGCAAAATAAATAAACATAAATACAACAATTAACATTTATTTCAATCCATAGAACCATATAAGTTATAATCAAACGAAATACTACTCGTACATGTAAATCAATATGGTTTTATGTTGTCGCAATGTCCATGGGAAGGTAGTCTGAATACGGGGGGGAGGGGGGAAATAAATAAGGGAGGCGGAGAGGGGCGGGCGCGGGGTGCGGCAAGGCGATTCTACCGCGATGCTCTTACATACAACTCCTTCTTAACACGATACCTTATTATAACATTATATACCCACATTACATATTTTCGGAGAAACAATTTAATACGTATTATGTATACTGTATAGGTATCATATATACCATATTGCGTAATTCATTGTATACTTTTTTAACAAACAAGATGGAATATCAAATGCCACACTGCGCGGCCGATTAACATTAAGTCAATTACATTTAATATCATTTTGATATGAGACAGTGCATTCCAAAAGTTCAACCGTCAACACCTTTATAGTATCCCTCAAATGTAAATCTTTATAGAAAAAACATTTTATTGTTCTCGCTTTGTATTCATAAAATACTTTCAAATGCAACAACTTCTTAGTCTTAGTTCATAAACATTTTTTTTATTTCAATTCAATAAACATTCAATTGACTCATTTATCAACGACAAAAACCTACAAAAATATATTATAACATTAGCACGAGTCAAATAGAGTGCAGAGGAAACGTCGAAATGATGCAGTCAGTGCGTGGGGAGGCGGCCGCGCTGGGATGGTCCGGGGCGAGCGGACGCAGCGGGAACGCGAAGGGAACGAGACGGGGACGCGACGGGGACGCCACGGAGACAACACGGAGACGTGACGGAAACGCGGCGGACACGATACGCCCTCGCACGGCCGCGATGCTTGGGTAACGGTGTGAGGCACGGAGCGCCGATCCATATCTATATACGCGGGTCCAACCCTTTTGACGCGATTACGTGAGTCTTTTTTAAAACTAAAAAAAAAATAATATAAACTTTCAAAAACGTTAACAACTACAGCCATAACAAAAATATACTAATAACGACTACGCTACGGAATCTACGTACTACTTACACTACCTACTAAGTAAATTTGAAACGAAACTAGTGTTCGCTCACTACGGAAACGACAGAGGGCGCGAGCGGGGCACCCGGAGAATCCCGGGCCTGAGCCATTATCGCCGGGCGCCTCGCGGGCTAATCTCATACGGAGCGGTCCTACGAAGCGAGCCAGAGCGGGAAACCTGCGGACCCCGCGGCCCCGGACACGTGACACGGATCGGTACTGCAGTCATTCCGGAACAGGGGACGGACGGGGCGGAGCTGGTAACGGCGACAGTTGCAACACGGATCGCGGGCGAGCCGGTGTGTCCGGGGCGCGACGCGGGGTCTATTAAAACTACCTATATACAGACGCAGCCACTACACTTGCGCATGCGTACGCGAGCCACTTGAGCAAACTAACGCGCGGCGGCCTGCCGGCACACGCCGCACGCGACCGGTGCTGGTACAATATAAATATTCAACAACTTTAACTTAAACGACGACCCGCGCCCGGATCGGTGCGGGCCGGACCGTATCCGGTTTCGAATTGAGACGTAACACGGAACGGACCGGGCCGGGCCGGGGCGCGGCACGACGCACGCTCAGGACGGGGACACAACAAACACCCTTTTTTAAATTAACGATTCTCCATAAATTTTGGTCCGTACGTCGTTGACTAACCCTGTAGAATGTCGAACCGAGTCCGAATGAAGGAATTAGATACGACGATAGATCAGAGTTCAAACGGAACTTTGGTTAAGATTCACCTATTACACTAATAAATAAACTTACGGTAACTGTTATACTGATTATTACTATCATAGTTAATATTAACGACGAAAAGAGCCACTTTTCTTATAACATTATCGTAAAGGTCAATTCATAAAGTAGTGGAACAAAGAAAGACATCAATATTCATTGTCTGCATGTACATATAATGGGAAGAATTTTGTAAAACGTAATAGCCATAAATTTAAATCTAAAATATTGACCCACTGAGTGTGCTATAAGCTAAATGGCTCTAATAGAGAAGAAATGACAACATCGAGTAGAACTGGAGAAGGAGAAATAGGATCCGCAAAGCGGATTTGCGATTGAGGAAAAGGAAGAAGTGTACCTAAGTCACAGTTAATAAGTCCATAAGTCTCACATAACTAACGGTTACTCGTCAGTAAAAGTACACTTAAAACCGAATATTTAAAAAGCATCACAAATAGATGGTAAATATGATGTGCCCGCAGCCGGCAGCGGCGTCGCCCGCGACCTGCAAAAGAAACAAAAAAGTTGTAAAGTTAACTTTTTTTTATTTTTATAGAATAGGGTGACAAACAGTCCACCTGATGGTAAGTGGTTGTTGTGGCCCATAGACATCTACATCTATCCTCGATTACAAATCAAAATGCAGATGCGTTGTCACCCGTGAGCACTAAGATGGAATGCCTGGTTTCCAGTAAAAAGGGTCTCCGGTTCTCTACACTCCCCATACGAAACACAGCTACTATTTCATGCTGGTATTCTGTGAGAGCGTGGTCCTTCCCCGGTCGAGCCGACCCATTCATGCTACAACTATACTACTAATATAATTGCAGCATGGCTCTACCACGTATAAACATACCTACATAATATTCCAACTCCTGGTCACAAGCCTACTCTCATTTTTATGAGATTTCATTTGAGAGGGTTTTAAAGCAAGGAAGTGTCCACCGCGTTGCACTCATGCGTATTGGCGGACTACACATGCCTTTGATTCTTTTTATTTCTCAGGCATACAGGTTTTATCACAGTTTTCCTTCACAGTCGAACATGTGATACTCGTAAGTCGGCAATTAAAATTGCAATTAACAATTACATCGGTGTCAGTAGAGATTGAACCCGTTTGCTCGTGTATAGTGGGAATTTACAGTGAGCGAGTTTGTTATATTTTAATACTTTCTTTAATCCTTTTAAATATAACCGCTTCGAGTTAGCGTCGTAAGACAACCCATTACTGAATTTCATTCCGAGGGTGTCGTAAAGGCCAACAATGGCTATAAGAAGGCCCGATAACTATCCCCTTCATTCCAATGTAAAATATCGAGATATTAATAAAATGATACAAGATGATCAAGGCACGAAGTTTTCGAATTCTTTCGTTGAAAGTTTTCGTTCAAACCAAAAATTTGTTTGTTATAAAACATTTCATGCAATGTAAGTCGTAACTGTTACGGCTGAAAGTCGAAAGTCGGACGCACATAGGTTTAGACACCTACCATCATTGGTTTGATACTTTTAGATTTTAGATAAATCGCCACTAAATTATATCTTTTATCACTATTGGAATCTTATTCCCTGCGTCCTTCTGCGACAGTACCTCACATACACTTCTAACATATATATTTTGAGCACTGTCAACCAACAGAGAAACAGTTTATGCGACCCGAAAAATTACCATAACCAATAATTCTTAAAATATATCTTTATATGTAAAAATCAATTGGTGTCCGTTAGTTTTGCTAAAACTCAAGAACAGCTCGATCAATTGTAATGAATTTTTTGTGTACATTTAAATTGGTCCCTAGATGGTTTAGATTCACATTTGGAGCCGATAGGTGGCGCTGTTATCGAGATCCAGAAATCACTAGTGCGAAGCCGGAAGTACGAAGCCCTTACAGTTTATGAAACGGTACTCACTTATCGTGTGGCGTGTTTGTGCTATACGGGGTGGTGGGTTCGCGGGCCGCCTATACATCCGCATACTTAGACAGTTTCTCGCGAAGGATATGGTTCTCCTTTTTCAGCAGCTCCACTTCTTGCCGTAACCCCATATTCTGAAAGATTATCAGAAATAATTGTTATCAGAATTGTTGTTCGGTTGATATATATACAAATCTTTCTAAACATACTAGTAGTATTTATCGTGATGACCACAATTAACATGTATTTTGGTGAAAATTTCAACAAGCAAATCAAGTAATTTTAGACAAAATAATTCATATTTGATTAATTTGTGTAATCTGATTTTCTTTCGAAGGCCTCTATCAAAAATGGAAATATCTTCATTTTCTCTAGTGCCTTCCGAAGAAACTCCAACAAAAGGGGAAGAATTAACTTCAATACTAACAGAGAAGTAACAGCGTCTGTGTTCATCGTAAATTCACAAGTGAACACAGGCCTCCCAAGGGGAAGCCATAAAGCGCGAACTATAATATAGATTCTAGTACAAACCAATAACGTCATCACTAATACGAGGAAATTGTCAATTGCTGGAAAGAGTCTGCACTCGATTCCCCGTCCTAGACTATTTATTAACTTCTCTTACCACTTTATAATCTTTCAAGACTTCTAACTTAGTCTTCTTTGAAATAGTTTTGGACCACCATGTATTTTGTTACCAATGCGGACTATCACTTTATAAATTGATAGCGTTCGTGCACTTAATATACTTTTAACAAATTATTTTTAACATCAAGAGGGAGTTTTGGAGGGAACTTGGCCGTCGACGGATTGTTGCTCCTGTTTTATCGCTTAAATAATGATTTGAAGTATATTTTGATTCGTAAAAGTGATGCGATTTTGTGAATTAAGTGCCTGCGTGTGTAAATTGTTAGAGAAAACTATGAAACAAGTGTTTCGATGTTGATATAAACCTCAAGTTAATTTGATCGTTTAGGCGCTTTATGAATTGAGCTATCGTTAAAATCTCCCAAAAACTTCACAATGTGGCGCATCATCATTTTGTGAAGAAAAAATCTATAAAAATCAAGATCCCGAAAGAAATTATAAGCTCAGAAGGGCTAGAACCCAGAGCCCCAAACCAGTTAAATAAATAATAAAATAACATCAAGAAAATACCAAGGAACATAGATTTTTATGTGTACTACAAGACGGGATCTACGGTATTAATACATTGCGCTCTAAGCTACTTTCATTTCTCCGTAACTGCCCGCCCGCTCCGTAACCGCAAACATTGTTTTTGACAATATATCACCGATTTTGCTTAATGACACCTTAGTTATTACATACATACTAATAATTACTCTGAGAATGTCACTAAGAAAGTGCTGTTATTATTTATATGCGCACTTTATCAAGGTGATTCGAAAGTATGTAACTGTCATAAATGAAAATATAGCTGCGTGACATAATTACCATGCCAGTAACGGTGACCCCACAGCTGTGACTGTTTTTGTTCTGAATTGCAAATCTAATAGTACACATAGAAGTCTTTTGCCAAGGAACGATCAACTCACCTCCTTCTCGAGATAACCCGCTCGCAGCGCGATTTGATTCTCTTTCATGCGCCGCGCGTCCCGGGAACGCTTCGCCGCCATATTGTTCTTTCGCCGACGCGCCCAGTACTTGTCGTCTTTCAGGTCATCGGGCACGAACTGCCGACGACGTCGATATGGGGTTAACACGCCGCGCCACACACTCATACCACCCTTCACCCACCAGTGGAACACAATACGCGAGTTACGACGGAGCGGGGACGTGCCCGTTGTCGCGAACGCGTCCCCACCACGTTGCGACGCTAGCACGCACACGCGAATTCCGAAATCAAGTTGAAACCACAAAGCAAACATAGAGAACTGCATATTTTCAAATTTCCATTATTTAAATAAAAGCTTGAAGGTATCAGAAATTTTACTTTATGTCGTGTGTGCGTGCGTTAAATATTATAAACCACTGTATACACATCCGACTAACATAATGAATATTCCTCAGGTAACTACATATTACTATTATGCTTCGCTAGCATTAAACATACAAAGAATTTCTGTAAAACATACTTGAAGAAGGTCTAATATATAGATCTAATTATATTATTATCTGAATTTTCATCGGTCTACCTCACGTTCCTGGATGAAAAATTTAATTTATTTATTTTGTTACGTATAAATAGAATATTAATTGATTCTATTAATACAATAATTTACGTTATTAATATTGTTTGAACTAATTGCAATATATATATTTTATAAAACATATAAGATTATTATTTAGTTTTCAAATTAAGAATGTTAGGATAAAAATGAGCAGTGTTTTCTTGTACATTTTATTTTATTTTAAACTATCTAGTACGCTTACTTTCAAGCGACAAATGACCAGCATTTTCTTTTCGTCATTGGATAAAAAGAATCTCACAGACTAGAATTCGTACGGCTCATCTAAAAATATAGTAGACACTGAAGTATTATTTTTTACAGAATTTTTTTGTATTTAAACCCCAAAAAAAGAAGTGATAGCATTTTAATGCATGCATCCACAAATTCTAATAAATCGTGCAACACATTAGTAAGGAACAGGTATTTTTTTTAATAATAAAAGCAGTAGTTAAAAATAAATAAAAATCGTTGTAACTGTCCCACATATTCATAAGGGTCATTGGAAATGTCAACAGATAAGTGTTATACTCAAGGCCAGCAAGGAAAGAAAATAAATATGTACATTGTATTAACCTCCGTCCTTCTTAGTTTAAGTAGGAATATAGTTCTAGATAATACGTTTTGCATTCTTTTAATTCTATTTTTATTCTTCTAAAAGAATTATCATTATGTGGTCAGTCATTAACTGACAATTCAACAAAAGCATGACTTGTTTTTGGAATTAAATCCATTCCGAAAAAAGTTTACGGACTGTCAAATTGAAGTGAATTATAAAACCCGTGATATATACAAGGTTAATAAATTTTTGAGGAAGCGTTAAAAAGCGGGTGTCATGCTGTGTGTATTAAATGTGGTTTGTGTAGACTAAATATAAATCTCCGACAAATAATAAGAGTTTAAAAAATTTAAACAACACGCATTGGTCCTGATCAGGCCACAGGAATAAAGTTATTAAAATATTGCATTGTCATCGGTCATTGATACCAGTGCAAATTTTCAAGTCAACCGTCTACAAGTTGGTGAAAATTACATTAAAACATTACGTTTCCTAGATGGATAGATTCACGCGAAGGTAATAAAAGCATGTTAAAGAAGTGTCACAAAACCCATGTAACCCCGGCAAAACATGTTGGCCAATCCTGCCAACGCGAACGTAGGCAAATTGATAAAAGTCGAGTGCTACAATCTACCCGTAACCTACAATCTAAACGTTGGTCAAGTTCGAAAGAAACCCTTTCCAAGGCCAATGTTCACTAGTTTTTGTGGAGTTATCCACATGTTGGCCGTAATTAGTCGTCATTAAGGGGATAGAGTAAGTCAGCTCAAATTCTAATTTCGTCCCCACTTGCCCGCGCGTCGTATGCTATGTACCGACATGTTTGTAATCACTAATACTGTAAGTAGAAAGGTCGTTAGACACTTATTTCATTAGGTTTATCATATTTATGCCTGTTTCTTAACGCCAAGTCAGTCGCTTCTTATTTTTATTACGGTTATTTCCCATTTTAATTTTACGTCGTCCTGTTGCGTAATGTATATTCTGATCGTAAGAGACACAACCTCCCCGTTCAAAGGCCGAAGCGAAGTAACCGTGCGGCAGGAATCACGCTTCAAGAGGCCGTTAGTTTAGGTAATTTCTTTTTACAGTGAAAATAATGGAATTTAAAAAAAAAGTAAATAACATAAGCACTGCTTTATAGTTAGTTCAGTTAGTATGCAAAGTTTCATGATCTTATTTAAAGTATTTTATGAATAACAGCGGTTTATTGTTTATTTTGGAGGTAACTTTGGATTTTTTTTCTATCGAGATAATTTTACGAAATCGTGTTTTCGTCTAACATAATCCCTAACATTAATCCTCAACTTTACCATATATTTATTTCAAAATTAATGCTGCAATATTCGGCATAACGAAGGATCTTGCTAAGCCATTTGAGATTATATTTCCCCTTAAGAATTGGTATGATATGGACGACGTAAAAGTTATTGCAGCTAGTGCTATTTATTTAATAAGTGCATATAATTATTGTCATTGTACTCCACAGTAAAGATAAAAAATTTAAAGATGTCCTCGTTAGTATAGTGACACTGTCGACATTATTTTAAAGTTGCAACTTAATTAAATCAATATCTCGCCGGGACGGACGCCAAGCTTTTACTACATGGGCGACTAACGTGTGGACGCGACTTGCCGAGTGCAAGCGAGCGACTTTGATTTGTGCAGAAAAGTCGCCACTTTTCCGAAGTGAACGAGTCGCAGCGAGCGATCTTGAGTGGCGGCAAGTCACGTCCCACGTATCACGTACACGGCCAACGTGTAAACGAACCGTTTACACGTTGGCGTTCGCCCGTTCTCGGCCAGCTAGGTGAGCGTCGACGAGCAATGGCGAGGCTGGACAAATGGGCTGTCTATACGTTGGTGCTCGATTTCGCTCGGCCAACATATATAGCCGGCTTTATTTTCTTGACACGCACTCACGCACACATCTGTCCTCTTTCTTTCTTCAACAGATCGTAAAAATTCACTGCTAAACACACACACATGCACCTTTATGTATAATTGATAGTAGTAGTATGGTCTGAATGAATTGTTTTTGTAGGGTACTGGAGCCCTAAAATGATCCATTTGAATGATCGATCCGAATGGTACCGGTACGCGTGACCAAATGTACTAGAATGATTCGGTAACGAGAAATGAATACTTGACACAACATGTCTAGACTAGACCTAAATTCCCCGACAAGGGTGACGATTATTGCAAATACTCTCTTTTAAGAAAGAAGCCCGTGTCCATTAGTATATACCTTTACGAGCTGATGATGAAATAAAGAATCATTTATGTTTTGTTACAGAAACAATTGTGAAGAATAATGAATTGGACAATACTATTACCCATTTATTGTAGATTAAAAATCTTTTCTATGTATAAACCGTTATTACGTTTAAAAATCTTTAAGGTGACAAAGCATACAAAATAAACGTAAATATTAGACAAATTTAAAGGAATAATAATTCTAAAATAGTAGCAGAGCAAAATAAAAGAGTACCAAATGAATTCCAAATTCAAAAAGAAGTTAGATAAGGAGACTAAACTGACTCAAAAACTTTCAAAATTTTTTTTATCTCGAGTTATCACCAGCCATTATGGTGAGAAAAAATAATAGCACCACTAGGCTCTACGCAGAACTAACTACCAAATGCTGAACAATGTGACGTCAGTGGAATTAAGTGGTTTTCGAAAGTTGATTTGGAAGGCGAATACTGGCAAGTAGAGATTAGCTCAGAGGACAAAGAGAAGACAGTGTTTAGAACAGGGCTTGGAAGTGGACTTTGGTAATTTAAAGTCATGCCATTCGGCCTGTGCAATGTTCTTGCAAACGTGTAAACGTCTTAGCCATTAAAAACATAACTTGTAAAAAAACCAAGTCTCGCAACTCAGTTCTTCTACTGTAAAAAGTTGTGAGATGCATGTAATACCAAGTCGGTTAATTTATTCAGTTCCTACTTAAGACTCCTTATGTTTTAAGTTATTACGTAATTAGCTAACCTAACAACATTTTATAGTGACCATATCAATGTTAAAAGTCTTTTATGTTTTAAATATATAGATTGACTTGGCCATCGCATGAAACCACAATGTATCTCACAAGAAATACATATTATATTAAATTAGATTGCTTAGTGCGATTGCCAAGTCAATCTATATATTTAAAATATAAAAGACTTTTAAAATTGATATGGTCACTATAAAATGTTGTTAGGTTAGCTAATTACGTAATAACTTAAAACATAAGGAGTCTTAAGTAGGAACTGAATAAATTAACCGACTTGGTATTACATGCATCTCACAACTTTTTACAGTAGAAGAACTGAGTTGCGAGACCTGTTTTTTTTTACAAGTTATGTTTTTAATGGCATCTCATTTCTTTTTCTATATAAGATAGTCCTAATTTTTTACCTTTCCGGTACCTTCTACTTCTTGAGTACCAAAAACGTACCTATGTACACCTGTAATACATATACAAGTGCACTAATTCATTCACCGCAAATTTAACTTTGTAATTCTATATATTTATATGGGATTACAAAGTTATTAATGCAGTTGGTATATCTAGAAAACTGGACCGAAATTTAAAAGTATTTTAGTTTTTCCTTGATTTATACACTAAACACTAATTGTATTCTGAATTTGAAGCTTCTATGTCTGCTAGAAGTGCCTTAGACGCTTGATGATCGGTCAGTCAGTGAGTGACAAAATTAAGAAACTTTGACTAGTTATACTTCCTAAACTACTGGTTCAAATTGAATGAAATTTGAAATATATCATGTTTATACAATGTCTACTCGGTAACTGAAAATTCAGGCTTCTAGTTTTATCCTCTACGAAGTTATAGAGGGTTGAAAATGGCCTGAATTGCTTCGAGAAAAGTATGGTACGGCCGTGCCGCTTTTTTGCTCGACTTGGCGGGGGAACTGCCGTGCCCCCAGATGGACAGGGACTGGACACCGTTTTTACTGGAAACGAGGCATTAAATTTTAGTCCGTAGGGGTGACAACGCATCTGCATTTTTATTCCTAATTGATGATAAATGTAGATGTCTATGGGCCACAGCATCTACTTACCATCAGGTAGACTGTGTGTACGTTTGTCACCCTATTTTATGAGAAAAGGGTAGACAGAGACTACGAACTTCCGTTTGGCACGATTCTGGCATACCTCTCTCGCTTCTAACACATTCATATATCTACGCATACGTGCTCGTAAGATAATTTGGTTGATAAAGTCACTACTCACTTCGAAGATATTACCATACATTTTTTTAATGTTAGCGAGTAAGGAAGGAGTGCTTCTAAATATATGTTTAATACAACGTAAAAGGGTTATCATGTTTATATACGTGCTGCTCTATAATTTAAATCAGATTAGAATTTATTATTTTTAACAGGTGTGTTATAAACTATGCTAAGTGGAGAACACCTGACCCTCAGAATAAAAGATGTGATAAGTGTGCCCTGTGTACGTGTGTTATTGTGAGTGACGCCGCACCCCGCAGGCTGTTTGCAGCATGCCGCTAGGAATGATCAGCGCACTAACATCATTTACCTGTTTCCGGGACTTCTTGATCATGGGCTGCGGCTTGAGCTCCTCGTCGGAGAAAGCACGCGTCCGGGGATCGAAGTCGCGCCCTGACGATGCCATTGAGAATGCTGGAAATTCAGATAATTTAAACCATTAGTGTTTTTTGTTTTACTTATATTGAACCTTTTTCTTTTAATTGCGGTTCCATGGTGTAGTGGCTTAGCGTTGAGTAGCGGCGTCGGGTTCTGAAGGTTCGAATCTCGCATGGAACAAGTATTTGTATGACTTACAAATAATTGTTCCGGATCTTGTGAACTTTTGTATGTAATGTGTCTCCAAGATACAGGATAAAATCATAGTGTTATTATATGAACATCTCAATATTTTCAGTTCTTTGAAGTCGGATTTACTTTTATTAAAAGTTAAATTTAATAATTGCTTTGATTGTAACAAATTGGAATAAAGAAATTTATTATTTCATAATGTCTTTTGATGACTGTCACTTAGGTAATATAGTTACCCCTAAGTCAGAGTTCCTTGCTAGAAGCTCGTCTAGGTAGATAACACACTTTTAGCTTAGTGCACATTTTGCTGCATTACGGTTTTAAGGCTAAGAAAGATAGAACAATCACAGGCTGTAACACTTTTCAACTAAGTTTTTGACGGCGTCAACGTATGTGAGGTAACTCCTGTTTGATGTTGGATATTGGCGTTGGGCTACTGTAACCAATTATTATCAGATTGACTGATATCCCATTACTCATTATAGTATTGTAAAAAAGTATCATTACTATCGCCAGAGTTTAATAATGCGCAACGTATCCATCTTCCACCAGAGATGGAGATTTAATAAATAAAAAAAGTGATAGACTCCTGTCAAAGGTCCATAAAAAAGCTATATAGGTAAAGGCCTCCTCTCATTTCTAATAGTTTTAGGGCAAGGGCAAATGTTTGCCACGGTGCGGTGCCCCAATGCGTGCTAGCGAAATTCATGTCTTCGAAATATTTATTTTTATTATTTCTCAGACATGCAGGTTTCCACACATTTTCCTTCACCGTCAAACACGTGGAAAATCAAAAATTAAATTTGCAATTAAGATTTTCATTAGTGCCAGCGGGTTCGAACCCGGGTTACTCGCGTACTGTGAAATTTACAGCGAGTCCTTAGCACCTGAGTTACTACGGCTCTCCAAAGAAATGAAGGATTTGTCATAACGCCCACGGGCGGATGAGCAATGGCAGTGGCAAACGTCTTGCACCTTAGCCTTAGACGCCGTTCCCTGTCGCCATTCTGGGTATTTTATGTCTAGTGTAAAGTTATTTTACGGCTTTTTGTACCATCAGCTGAAGACATGAGATTTCTCAGGCATTTCCTATAGTATTTTACGACACTTGCGATGGGTTATAGATCTGCACACCAACACAACGTGACGTGTGTAATCACTTTACCTATTAGACTGTTCTAAAAAGCAATATTGAAAGGTTCAATATTGGTGTTGTAAGAATATACACTACCCGATATCGTCCTATGGATATTGTTACGAGCTTGAGGTTCGTGACAATAAAAATTGCCGATAAAGCTACCTAAATTAACACTTTAATTTACTTTACACAAATTAAAGTTAAAAACACTAATAATTAAACACACTAATTCACTTTATTCCGCTCCGAAGCTTCGCTTGTGTCGCCGAGTTCAACTCTACTTCGATCGCATCTTGCAGCGCCTATATATTTAAATTAGCAAAGAAATATCCAGAATGTTCAAGTAAACACGCGCAAGGTACCGAGCGTTCGAGTTTCGACTAGGCGCTGTCGGTTGAGTAATTTGTGATATCATTTTCTCAATGCTCCCCTCGCTCTCGTTCCTGACACTAGATGGCGCTAGTGTATTGTCGATATGAGCGCGTAACACTGCCCCCTCCTAAGACATGCTCGTCCCGAGCATTATCGGCCCCATAATAACGCGCCAAGCGATTCACATGGACGATCTTAGGAGTCCCTCTTGCGCCTTTCTGTAACGGCTCCGCAATGTCAAGGGCTGTTCTATCCCGTGGTGCACCAACATTGTACAATTTCGGTGCTCCTCCACTACGTGTCTGAGGTCCCCGCACGGCCGCACAACTTGTACATGTACGACACCAATCCTCGACATCGTCACGATAATGGACCCAGTAAAACTGTTCTCGGACCTTCAGTAGAGTTCGTTTAACTCCCAGATGGACTCTTGAACGACCATTATGGCACAGCTGTAGAACATTCGGCACTTTAGCTTTAGGGACAACCATTTGCAAACGACAGCTGTCCCTTCGACCATTGTCCCATTTACGGCACAGGACTCCATCCTGAATCAGCAAGCTGTCCCATTGGGCCCAATAGCTTTTCGTGGTTGAACTCATCGCTGAGACGTCCCTCCACTTAGGCTTGGTAGCACGGGCCTTCATCCATCCCAGAATCGGCTTGATGTCCGGATCTTCCTGCTGTGCATGTCGTAGGCTGTCCTTCCACCCGTTGCTGAGGTGGTCTGTCCTGAGCATCCTCACGGATACCACTTCCTTACTCTCTTGCCTACTACAATGGTTGCAATCTTCAGGACAAGGTCTTCTTGTCAATGCATCTGCGTTGCCGTGAGATTTTCCGCTGCAGTGTCTGATAGTAAAGTCGTATTCCTGCTGCTGCTGGGCGGTGCTGTTAGCCGCACTTCCTTTCTGAGACCGTTCACCTTCCCTTTCTAGGGTGTGCTTAGGGCAGCTGGACCGAAGATGGCCCCTTTCCCCACAGCCATAGCACCTAGGGCTGTATCTTTTATTGTGGTCGCGAACCGTAACTGCTGTAACCTCCCTAGCGTGAGGTGAACGATGATCCTGTCGCCGCCAGGCAGTGCCGTTAGCTGTACTACCCTCTCGAGATCGACCAACTCTCCTTTCCATGGTTAGTTTAGGGCAGCTGGATCGAAGATGGCCCTTTTCCCCACAGCCATAGCACCTTGGGCTGTATCCTTTGTTGCGGTCGCGAACTGTAGCGGCTACAACCTCCCTGACGCGATGGGAACGATGATCCTGCCGCACGGCTTCTACCTCCAGTGCATGGGCCAAGGCGTCCTTAAGCGTCTCGTGGTGCCCAAGCCTCACAGCAGCTCTGACTTCCAGGTCGCGGATGCCGTCGATGAATGTCTGCACCAGGTTCCCTTCAATGAGCGCAGGTACAGACCGGTAAGCTTTTCGTACCAGCTTCTCCACCTCTAGAGCCCACTGCTGCAGGTTTTCGTTGATGCGCTGCACACGATCTTTAAGCTGCGCACGAAAGACGTGTTCCAGGTGAGCGTCGCCATATCTCGCCTCCAATGCCTCAAGGAGTTGCTCATAAGTCACTTCCTCACCGAGAGCTTCCAGAACTGTTAAGGCCTGGTCGCGCAGGCCTAGTGTGAGAGCAGTCATGGCCTGACTTTTATTCCAGCCGTTCGCCTTCATAACAGCCTCGAACTGGATTTTGTAGGCTGACCAGGAAGAGGTACCGTCGAACGATGGCACCTTGAACCCACGTAGCGAAGGTGTTGTGGCTACTACGGGAGCTGTAGCTCCATCTCCAAGTTTGAGTTCGTCCAGTGATTTCTTCATGTCAGCCATTACGTTGTCAACCCGATTGTTTACTTGGTCGATTCGGGTTTCAGCTTTCTCGATTCGGTTTTCAGCTTCCGACAGGCGGTTGTCATGGTGAGCAACCCTATCCTTCACCTCCTTTATCTCCTTCCCGAAGGTAGCGTGAAGGTCCTTCATGAGGAGCATATGTTCCTCCTGTCGGCGGGCCTGTTCCTCGTGTCGGCGGGCCTGTTCCTCCTGCTGCTCTTTCAACTGACTGGCCTGTTCCTCCAGTCCGCGCTTCAGCTGCTCTTCGAACCGACGAGCCTGTTCCTCCTGTCGGCGGGCCTGCTCCTGCAGCATCACCATCAGGGCGCCCAAATCAGGTGCTGCAGATGCAGGAGCTACTGACGGACCGGCCTCCGTTGCCGGCCGCTGGCCCTCCGACGTCTGCGGCGTTGCACCACCAAATCTTCGTTGGTCCGTCTCCTACTGGCGTTGACTTCGGGTACGGACACCCTCCGTTTCCTCCTTAGGTAAAATCGGCATTATTTTACCCCACACCTGACACCAATTGTTACGAGCTTGAGGTTCGTGACAGTAAAAATTGCCGATAAAATTACCTAAATTAACACTTTAATTTACTTTACACAAATTAAAGTTAAAAACACTAATAATTAAACACACTAATTCACTTTATTCCGCTCCTAAGCTTCGCTTGTGTTGCCGAGTTCAACTCTACTTCGATCGCATCTTGCAGCGCCTATATATTTAAATTAGCAAAGAAATATCCAGAATGTTCAAGTAAACACGCGCAAGGTACCGAGCGTTCGAGTTTCGACTAGGCGCTGTCGGTTGAGTAATTTGTGATGTCATTTTCTCAATGCTCCCCTCGCTCTCGTTCCTGACACTAGATGGCGCTAGTGTATTGTCGATATGAGCGCGTAACAATATCGTAAGCGACGACAGAGAAAAACAAACCAGGAGATGGGCAGCAGGGTCTTTCTAATAACAATAAAAAGCTGCAGTTGCTTGCCACGCCTGTCAAGTGTGGCAACTGTGGCAACTGTGGCAAATATCCCCCTATGAAGTAATCAAGGGGGAGGCCTTTGTTCGACAAAAAACTTTAGGCTGTAACCACAGAAATAGTAATAATAAGATAATAGAAACGAACTAGCGCTCGATTACTTCCAAAACCGATGTCTACCTACCTATTTATTTATACTATACATACCTACGCAATGCACAATGATATCTAATGTTTCATATTACATTGCTTGGCGAGAAAGCAGCAATGGTATTGAACAATATGAAATAATACAACGTAAACGTAATTAAACGTAATAAATGAAAGTTTACAAAGGTAAATGTCATGGTAAAGATTTCATCTAGATGTAAATTAGTTAAAACAATGATAATTAGTAAATAATCATCTTACCGATGAAATGTTAATTGAATTACACCTCCTTTATGAGTTTTCACTACTGATTATGTTGTAGTTCACCCTTATAATAACAAATTCACGTAGGTACAACGTTCCCCGTGCAACTAAATCACAAAATGGTAGGTACCTAAACAATGTTCGTCAACACATCGTAACGGCGACAAGGTCACGCGTCTATGCCACTTCTATAGACAATAGTAATAATAATACTATTACGATTTCTGTGGCTGTAATTATATATAATGTACTCTGTGGCTGTAATGAATTGAATTTTATTCAAGATTATGTTGCACTACAAAACCTTCAACCTAAATTAGGTGTTTGAAAGTACTGATACGATTTATCATCAAAAATCCTTGTTTATATAACGTACAAAACAAATACTTACTTGAATCGGCGGGCGAGAGCGGCGGGTTGATGGTGTCGGGACTCATGCAATCGGAGGGTGATGGTGAGCGCTCTCGCTTGGTGATGGGCGCCTGGAGTCCCAGCGCCAGGCCCGTGCCCGGCCCGAAGGCCGAGCCGCCGAGATGCGCACCGCCCAAGCCTTCGCCCGGCATGCCATTCTCCGACAGGAATTCATCTAGGTCCACGTACTGAAAACATCCAACGTGACTCGTCACAGATCGCACGCAGACCCCTAACGACTAAATGGGAGCAGCGCTGAACGATCTTCGTTAAAACATAATATTATGTGTAAAAACGCAACAGCAAAGTAATTTTCATGAAATTTTAATTCGCAACGGGCCAATTCGCTTGCAAAAAAAATTGCACATAATATTTTATTAAATATAAAACTTAAAAATAAAAGTAAACGAAACACAGCGACATTGGAGCTACGAGTAAGACTGCGAAGCTTCTCTATTACCTAGTGCGAGCATGAGCGGTTAGGAAGCTTGTGAGAGACGCACACAACACGCAACACGCAGTAGGTAATAAAGTTTCCGAATACTGACTTCGTGTACCTTGAGATCGGGGTCGTAGGGCAGAGTCTTGTCCCAGAGGTTGGGTCCGAGGAAAGCGGCCTGCGCCTCCCACAGCTCGTTGTCATCTTTCTTGTCTTCTAGCGTGTCCTTATTGTTCACCGACTTTCCTGTAACAATAAGAGTGTGTGCCGGGTCACTGCAAGCCCGCGGTCGCGCCCACGCGGTCCACACCTGACAACGATGCGCGGCGTTTTAAAAAAAAAGTAATTTTACGAACGGCGCTCGCGGAATAAATATTTTAGTAACGTAAGTCGTGCTGGTAACAGGCACATGTATGTAATTGTTATATATAACAAAATAAAGAAGGATACATAGTTATAAATGAAATAGGTTGATAGGGTTACTGGCAAAATTGTCGGTGTGGTTCCGCAAGAATAAAACGGGGCGCAAAGCGCAGGGTGCATTACAATCTAAGGCATCGCGGCTTATAATTATAATTTTAAACCTTGCAAACCAAACATAACATTCGCTTAGCCAAATTTTTTGACGTATTGATATAATGTCCTCAATTGAGTCGCATAAGCAATACATAAACGACTAATAATGGTGTATTTTAGTAAATTATTATTATTTTATTCTAATACGAATTTACTAGTTATTAGTAAATAGTGGCGAAGGAAAGTTACGAAATTTGGTTAAAAATACTGAAAATATATTTTATAAAAATAGCATCAAATTACTGAAAATATATAAATAGCATCGTTTTGATAGGGTGCGTTTGGCACAAAAAAGCGCTAGCAAGCGTTTGTAAGCAAAATGGCGAAACTAATCAGTTTTCGGCCAGGACACGTTTGCTAACTTCAGTAGCGCTGACACAATCCGCCATTTTGCTTATTTAATTTGTTTGTTTTGAAGTAGAGTTTATAAGTTTTTTTGTGCAATATTAGTTTTAAGTAATATAATGACATGAATAGACATATACATGTTATTAAAAATTCATGATTGGAAAGTTTTTAATATGAATACTTTACAAACATAAATTAGGTTAGGTTCCCCGGTTAAAGCTAACTTCGTGTCCTATAGGAAAATAGCTACTTACGATTTGCCATTTTGCTTACAAACGCTTGCTAGCGCTTTTTTCTGTCAAACGCAGCCATAGTTAATGCTAGTGTGTGATAATTGGATTATTAAAAAAATACTTCAAACTTTATCGAAACTGGTTGGAAATTATATATAACCGTACTGCGGTTAGTAATATGTTTTTTTAAAGACTTATCAACAAATTTAAAAAAAAAAACACAGTTGAATTAATAAACTCATTTTTCACGTCGGTCAAATAGAGAAATGTCATTACGTAGCGATAAAACACAAAACCTAAATTTTATTAAAAACATTTTCATTAAACGAAATAGAATAAAAGTTAATAAAAGAATACAAAAACTTAAGTAACATAATCCACAAAAACCAATTCCATCACACTATAACGCCGACTCCGGCCATTCTTAAATCGTATTAAACGTAACAAAAAGTAGTAGTACATATATTAAAATAGTTATCATACAATTTTGGTTCATTATATCACTTTAAGGAAGAGATAGGCGCTTTTACTTATTAAGTTTATACAGATAGCAAGATAAAAAATATATGCACACAATAGCGATTGTAGAACGTTAAAGATACTTTTTACTGTCTTCAAATAATTTAACACATCTTATGTACTTTATATAACTTACTATTCTTTTTAAACGACTTTTAAAAAAGGAGTTTTCTATGAATCACAACATTTATTGGATGGAGCACTGTGTACTCGTTTGTCCTTGTTTGGTTGTATAAAAAACCTGGAGACTTTCAATTTGAACGCTTTTTTTATTCAATAGACCTAAAGATTTAAAAAGGTATATATATATATATATATATATATATATATATATTATTAGGTATATATTTTAAGGTCTATTTAATAAAATGCACATAATTTCAAGCTTTGTCTGAGCACCAAGTTTAGAAGCATTACAGAAGTATTAGAAGTATTGCATTATGTGGAAAATATTTTATTTCGTTTAGTTGTAGTTTGGAGTCTTAAATTTGTTACTTTATTTCTGACATAGTAAACTTTTTAATTGCGTAAGAGATATTTATAATATTTAATGGAATTATAAGCGGTTGAGCAAGCACATGGCTTTACAGCATAGTTAAAAGGCGAAATGAGAGTTAAGTGGAGGCGACGCGAATTGTAGGGGGGGGGGGGGCATCACGAGGATTAACGCGCATGGAACGAAAAGCAACGTAATTTGGGTACTGACCGGGAGCATTCATTAACATAGTACCTACATTAACATAGTAACATGCGTTTTAACAATTTGTAATTCGATTTTGAGCATCACATCACATGTATGAGATCGGACTTTTGCAGTCTGACAGAATTTTTGATCAGCAATTCTGAACCTTTTAGCCTGCTGGCCCTAAATACATCGGCAGTTGAATCTCGTGATCTTATACCTGATAATTCAAAATGAGTACCAATATTACAAATGTCAATAAGTACTCTATTGATGTCAGAGTAGAATAATGAATAACACTGTAACTAGAAAACTTTATTAGTTATTGAAAATAGTATTTTATATAAATGGATAGACAGATTAAAATTTTCACACTAGTTTAACAGTAAAAGTAATTGGTGAAATAAAGCACTTATCATTATTATTAGTTTACGTTTTAGTTCAATGAACCGGCAAAACAGCAGTGCGTGCACTGCAATGTCTGAAGCTGTAGGGTAGGTACATACATCCGGTATAAGAGCATGTGAGGAATTCCATTTTAGTCCTTATAAGTGACAATGAACCTATAGATTTTCTTGTTTGAAGTTGACTGCAGATGTCTATTTACTGCAATAGCCATTTTAGATCAGATAGACTGCCAGTCCGTTTGTCAGTTCAATTTCCTAATCCAAAGGGTATAAGAAGTTGATATACTGCAGCGCCATCTAGTGGTAAATTACAACAAAGTGGAAAGAACATCCTTCAAAACTTCTCTATGGAAAACAAATAAACATAATGGCAATTTTCATGGTGGTCGGTCAAAGGGTGTAGAAGTCTACCTAAAGTTACTGATACCTACATTTAAAATTTTATAGATTAGATAGGCAGCCCCGAATAAACAATATTCTAAAATTATTACTTATTTATCGAGAGTGGTCTTCCGGTCCCAGAAACATGAAAAAAGTGTAATTATTATTTAATATTATATCGGAATTTAACGTTACCAGCCGCATTAATTAGCCTTATTAAACATGACAAAAACAATGATAAAGATTGCGTTAGAATCATCACAATTACTACAGGAGCGAACCAAGAAGCATTTCCTGGTAAAAAAACAAAACTTGCATAGTGTACGTAGAGTGGGGCGCGAGTGGCGGCGGTTGCAGGAAGCGGGAAGTAAAGTAACCCAGTTGGTGATGTTACGTGCACCACAACACTTTCCTCTGCCGTTCCGCGCGGTAGAAACACGCACACCCTCCACTATATTGCACAACTGCTATAGATGACTCTGACTGTAAATACGAGCCGAAGAATTTTCTTGAACGCTCCCAGTGCCAGCAAGCGGCAATTAATTTGTTATCTGATGCAGTTCATTGGAGCTTAGTTGAATATCGAAAGTCGAATAAGCGGAAACAGTTACGAATTAATCATCATTCGATACCATATTTATTCAAACAAGTATTCGGGTAACACTTATTCTATTATTTGTTGATTTTTTTATAGAATATGGGTGTCAAACGAGCACACAGTCCAAGTGATGGTAAGTGGATTCTGTGACTCATAGACATCTATATTTATCCTCAAGTAAGAATCAGAATGTAGATGCGTTGTCAGTTGTCACTCCTGAAGACTAAGATCAAATGCCTCGTTTCCAGAAAAAAATACGTGTGGCACTCGGTGACTGCCGCGGTAAAGCTATTGCATAGCATTTTTTATCAACTTATGCAATTATAATTATTTATTTATTTTATTTATGCAGTTAAGTCTTTGATATTAAATCAAGTTACACTTTTTGAGCGTGGTGACCGATAAGAAAACAATTTTTTTTTCTCTTATTGAATAAATGAGAAGTTAATATTGTTTAAAATATTTTTAATATCTTACAATACATGTAGGTTATTCAGGAATTTTTATCATTGAGTTAGCAGCTAGTGTACACGCATACGTCTAGTCGCACGCACACAAACACCGTGCCGAACTCTGCCGAGTGCCGAAGTCTGCCGAACTGAAACGACGTTAGACGATGCACGGCTTTCAACGCCACACCTCCGTGCCCGTCGGAGTGGGGAGCGTGAGGTTTTTTTTCGTTACGGAATTTCTAGATTCGGTCCCCGCGCTCAAGGCCCGCGATAGAAGCTATGCAATAGCTTAAAAAGGGTATTCCGTTCTCTACACTCACCATACGAAACACAGCAGCGTTAAGCTATTTTACGCTGATAGTCTGTGAGAGCGTGGTCCTTCATCGGTCGAGCAGGCCCATGCGAGCTACAACCATAATATTAGCTGCAGCGTGGTTCTACCACGGATAAATATTTTTAACGTTATAAGTTTAAGCCAATCAATAGAAGTATTTCAGTAAATGAACCGAACAAAGCTCACGGTCGCAACTGGGGCGGTGGATACAGCTTCCGGGGTCGCTGGCGACCGCTCTCACTTTCATCGAGCAAGAGAAAGTCGACGCGGTGACGACATCGCGATACTATGCAAAGTCAATCGGAGACCTAACGAACTGCAAGCAACTCGATACCGTATTCACTAGTTGTACGATTTACACCTTTGTGATACAACAATCATCAGCATTGTTACAGCCTATAAAAATAGCTTTTTATTGCAATCTAAATATTTATATAGGATATTTGCCAATGTTGGCATGGTTGGCATGCGAGTTGGGCTTTATTATCAATTTTTCAACCGTTCGATCAATATATGACATTAAAACTTTGTAAATGCATCACTTATATTTTTAATGAAACTGGCTTGGTTATAAAAAAATATTTTGACAGAAAACAATAAATAAACAAACCTGAAGTTATTTAAGAGACGGATATAAGATATGTTATCAAATGCATGCCATGCATTTATATACCGTTGTGATTACGAGATGCCACAATATATATTATATATTTATT